AAATGTAATAAAATTATAAATAAAAAATAAAAAATTTTAAATAATAGTGAGAGTTCGTGGTTTTAAATAATGAATTAACAATAAGGACTTTACCCCAGCAATAATCGCAAGGAAATATGTATGTGTATGTTCATTGTTGAGAAATTATCAGTAGTTCAACCATCTGTCATAATTTAAGAGAATGTGTGTGAACTCTAAAGAGACGGTGTAGCGAAAACTAGTGCTGTTTCAGATGACTACACACCCTGCTGGCCCCCATCTCCTTCTTACATCTTCTTTCCATTCTGATGTTGGGACAAAATTCTTAATTGGAAGTAAATGAACTGGTTGCACTCCTTCACATGTGCAAAAAGTGCGATGCTGCTTCCTTCCCCTCCTCCACCTGCACTGGTTACTCATTACAGACATTTGGGGCTAGACCAAGCAATTCCTCACTGCTCTCTGAAGGAAGAAACATTATCTGCTTCATTAGAGGGCTGACAAGCCATGAATTCTAAACATCAGAGAGTGCGACTAAGTGACGGTCACTTCATCCCTATACTGGGCTTTGGCACCTATGCACCTAAAGAGGTAATGACCATGGTGTTGGGGTCGAGGGCTCAAAAAAATAGACCTAGGGTGTGTGGAACCAATGTGGTAGGTCTAGTGAGTAGAGTTGATGTGGTAGAGTGTTTCTGTGTGACTCTGTGGGGTTAGTGTATTTGTTGTCCATTTGTGTGTGTTATTGTTGTTGATACATGTTTATTTAAATATGTGCTCATTTAAAAATGTTATATATTTCATATATAGCCTTTTTGAGATGATCTCCCTGAAGCCCCAGCTGGCCTGGAAATCACTATGTAGACCAGGCTGGCCTCAAACTCACAGAGATCCGCCTGGCTCTGCCTCCCAAGTGCTGGAATTAAAGGTATGTGCCACCATACCCAGCAAAATTGTATTGTTTTGTTCAGTGTTTTTGGTTTTCTTTCCTTCTGGATTTTGATTTGTGAGGTGCATACTCCACAGTTCTCTGTCGGTGCCTCTTTGCTTCTTTGTTTCCTTAGGCATTCAGACGTTTCTCAATTTGTTGTAATTTCATTTATGTATTTTTGTCCCTGTTTCACATGCTTCAGGGGACACGTTCCAAAATTACCAATTATTCCACTATTATACATTCTTCTAGAAGTTCCAAGGTTTAAAGTTTATTTTAAGTTTTGTTCCACTTGAGTTGATACTTGCACAAGATAAGGGTAGAGGTAATTTTAAATCTCTGTATATGAGCATGGAATTTTCTCTGAGAAATGTATTGAAGATGATATCATGTTACAATGTCTATCTTTGATGTTTTTCTGGATAGTTGTTAGATATATGGTTCATGTCTATAGTTAGCTGTTAGATATATGGTTCATGTCTATAGTTGGCTGTTAGATATACGGTTCATGTCTATAGTGAAGACCATGACACCTAACAAGGGAAAATGTGAGTATAATAACAGTATGTGTACATAATGAGTTCATGTTACAGCATGTTGGATTTATTTCAAAATTGTTCAAATGATCTATGAAGTGAAAGTGAGCAGTTGGAGAGTTTACTTGCCTGGAATGAATTTAGGAATACAGTATTGTCCTCAGACCACTTAGCAGTCAGACTCTGGGCTAGTTCCCAGAACGTCTATATTTTTAATTCAAATTTAATCAGCAAGACGAAAAATCTTAAATTGTATTTAGATCACATTTTCCACAAAATATGAAACTTTGCTTTACAGGGTGATGCCTACTTGAATATTATCTCATATGGTAGCCATAATTCCTTATGTATGGGTCTGTTTCTGTGAGTAAACATGTTTGCGTCTAGCATTTACTTCTCTTCTGCAGAGAGAATGCCTAAGAATGAAAGAGCTGGCACCACGCACTGCTCTTTATCTAAGCTCCTCTTGATACACTGAACCTTACATGAAACCCAGAAATGTTGATTTTTTTTCTCATTTCATAACACAGGGAAGGCAGCTGTCCATCAGCTGTCTATATAAACCTGTGTACATGCCTTCATTTGGGAGACTAGAGTTTAAGGATTTCTTTTTTTTTTAGATTTTTACAAAAACTTTATTGAGAATTTCATACATGCATATAAGATGTTTTGATCAAATTCATGCCCACTCCCTCCCCTCCAACATTCCCCCCTCTGAAGAGGTAACCCTAAAATCCTTTAAGGATTATATACAAGCTCCCAAATACTTTTGACATTTTGGCCTCGGAACAAAGTATGTTGCTAACAGGCCCAAAGACACTTTGACTTTTAGCCAAGAAACTGGCTACTTTCCTCTGGGGTCTTTTTACCCTAACTGCCTAGCCGAGTCCTACCTCCTATTTTTATCACGCCATCCTCTGAAGGGGTTACCCAAATTGCCACAGGGAATAAGGATGCAAGTCCGATGTTTTGTGTAACGAACTGAAAATGAAAGTCTTAGGAATGGAGACTGAATAGCTTCTTTTTAAAGAATATTTACATTTTGCAAAAGCAATTTTTGGGGAGTTTGGTGTGCTCTGTGTGACTTCCCTGGGAGAAGGCTCATAGAAGAGTCCATAATGTCTCTTTATCATAGCATGCCCATTTTCCTGTGTAAATTGCATGGCTTAGTATTCCTATGAGTCCTATTAGCAAATCAATGACCATAAGATGAGAACCTGTTGCTCTGCTAATGTTGCCAATGACTAATTTGTAAATGACAGGGCTAAAGGGTCATGGGTTGCCCTACTCTCGTCACTCAGTAGGAAATGTCCAGATAAACTTGGTCGGACTTCTTACTGCAAATGAACACCTTACCCAAGACATGGGGAAAAGTTAATATTTAAGAAGATACCTTGTTTGTTCTTTTGCCTGAACAAATTCTGAATCATGTTGATATTTAAATTTGGTTGTTCTTTTTAGGTACCCAAGAGTAAGGCTACAGAGGCCACAAAAATAGCTATAGATGCTGGGTTCCGCCATATCGACTCTGCCCATTTGTATCAAAATGAAGAAGAGGTAGGACTGGCCATCCGAAGCAAGATTGCAGATGGCACTGTGAGAAGAGAAGACATATTTTACACTTCAAAGGTATTGTGCATATGGTGTGCAAATGAATGAACTCTGGTCTGCTGAAGGGATCTTTGTATGATTAGGTCAGTAGTTGCTGGTGAATTACACAAATCAGTGAATATTTTATTAATCCATATTCATTTATTACATATAATACTGAACATAGAGAAACATGCTAGCTTTCTCATCTTTTATCATCTTTTATCTCTTTAAATTCACCAATTTAAAGTTAAGTGTCTTCATTTCCGAGTCTCCATTCATTGGATTCTGACTTAGAATGGATTGAGGAAGGCTTTTTAAAACCTCCTGATTAACTCAGTAAAACTTCTCATTACTCTGAAAAATCACTTGTTTCTTTCATCAATGAGATATAACATCATAAGAGAACATTTCAGTGTTAAATAAATTATAATTAGTATTCCTTGTATATATAAATCAAGCAGATAAGTAAATGTTCAAAATATTTAACAGTAAATACATAAATAACTGAGACATGAACCCCTTCAACATTAAGTTGATTGACTAATTGTTTTAGACTGTTTTCCTCAGTGAAGTTTTCTTTTGTCAAGTAGGAATATACTATAAGCAGTAAGAAGGACATTCATAAGCCCCTAGGGTTATTATCATTATTGGTTATTATGAACTGAGTATAATGATATTAAATTTTCTTGACTGGAAGCATCACCAGAGAACCATGAGTAATGCAATGTGCTATGACTTTATGATGGTTACAATGTCAGGCACTAGGAAATTTTACTTTCAATAATTGTCTTCTGGACTACCACTGCATAAGTGCTTCATTGCTGACCACAACTTTGTTATGTGGCACGTGACTGTATGTGTTATATATTGCATTTTGATGTTGCTTTCCTAAGCAGTATCTTATAAAAACAAAGAGGCATGTACATGTATTTGTCACTGTTTAAAAGCCTCACATTCCTAAATGAAATGGATTTTGGATTAAAATTTTATTTATTAATTTTTTTATGTTTACTGGTGTTTTGTGCCACGTGCATACAATGTCCGTGGAGGTCAGAAGAGGCCCCCTGAGCCACTAGAACTGGGGTTATAGACAGTTGTTAGCTGCCACGTTGGTGCTGGGAACCAAATCCTGGTCCTCCACAAGAGCAGCAAGTGTTCTTATCCACTGAGTTAGCTCTCCAGCCTGCCATGAGTTATTTTGTTTTAGTGCTTTTTTATCTAGCATCTCTTTATAGACATAACAACATTGCTTCCTGTTCCTGTAAAAGTCAGTGACACTTGAAAGCATACATGGTAATCAGTTATTCCTTCAGCTTGCATTTTACTAGAAAGAAGTAGTTATCAAAAATTGACTCCCAACTAACAGTACAGAGGGAATGAATCCAAAGCATCCAGTTTTACTCTGGTAACAGTCTTTCCTTCTAGAAGGAATTTAAATGGTTGCTTAGAACTAGAGGAGCAGAAAGCATCAAACTCTAAAGTGGCTGTTGCTATGGAGTTCTGAGGACCACGGGGACATCCCTAAGAGAATTACACAATGTTCACAAGGTCATGTATTTTCAAAACTGTAATTCTGGATGAAACCCGATTTCCTTCAGATACTTTAGCTGAAAACAACACATCATAATAGATTGTATGCAAAAGCAGTTCTTTGATTTACACCCTTAAAATGCTTTGTCAATTTAGTGAAACATCTTGGCAATAGGCGTTATTAGTACTTGATAAAAGTTGTGAGTCTAGACATGGAGACCCCACCATATGGACTTGAACCAGTATCCAGTCTACAAAGAGGAGGGTCAACACAGAGGAAACATTTCCTCCATGCTTCCAAGTGAAGCCAGCCATGGTTGAGCAGGACCTTTGACTTACCTTCACATAGATGGAACTGGTAAAAAGAAAGGATCCAGGGACTCCTCCCAAGCCCATGTGACCCCTGAGGAACAGATCCTTAAATGACCTTAAGAGTAAGAGTAAATTGGTTTATCTGGGCCAATTGTAGGGTCTTAAAAACCCAAAATGAAAGTATAACCAAACATTAAAGGGGTCAATATAATTCTTTAAGAGTCCATGTGTATAGCTAAAGGCTACATAACAAGAAACAATGCCAGATAGGAGATACCTTCATTTGAGTTGGTGGCCGGGGTGGCCAAAGGGACTCCCAGATAGTAACCCAGCACAGAACTGGGAAAATGAACAGCAGACCCCAATCTTATCTAAGCAGGGATAACAGAGTATAAGGGCGCCAGTGTGGGGGAGGGAGGCTATGGGAGGTTGCCATCTGGCAAATGGGTGCATAGATGAATAAGATTGTTTGGGATGTTCTGTGTGATATACACACACAAAAACATCAACAAATAAAAAATGAGTTATATTTGAGGAGGAAGCATAAAAATTTACTTCATGTTAATTAGTAGAGGTGATAAATATTACCATTGAAATGCACCTGATGACTTTATATCCATACTCAGGTGCCAAGGATTCAAGTGTAACTGACTGTGACTAGTAATAATCAGAGAAATTAGAGACGCATGTGCAAACAACCAAGCATTAGTAGCATTAAAAATGAGTCTTTCTGTAGGAAATAGCATATTTTAAAATGAAATGGAGATCTTTTCTTAAGGTTAAAACCTCATTCAATTTTATGTCTCACAGGGTTTATACTGAGTTCAATATTGTATATCTGTATTAATTCAACTGTGAACCTAGAAACTTGCACCCACTTTGTCTGGAAATTGTTATTGAATATGTTAAAGCTGTAATGAAATGCTTCCTCTAATCATGAGGTTATTAAATAAAAATAATAATAAAAATATTTTTTAAAAATCAAAAAAAGTTTTGAGCCTAAAATAATTTCCTAGATTATCTCTGTATAGCTAAACACAGAAGAAAGTTACATGATTAGATCAGATTAAAGGAGATTTAGAAGAAGTGGAATATTTCTCCCCTGTGTTTATTTCAAACTGGTGGAAAAATCTCTCTGTACTAGGTGAAGTAACCAAGCAAATTGTTATAGTCCAACACAGATTCCATTCTCTACCCTCTGTAGCTTTGGTGTACGTTCCACCGCCCAGAGCTGGTGCGGCCTTGCTTGGAAGGGTCGCTGAAGAAACTTCAACTGGACTATGTGGACCTCTACCTCATTCATTTCCCAATGGCTCTGAAGGTAGGGCCATTTGGATCACCCAAACCATTTCATTTCAGATGTCAACATGATCATCCATTTTCCTGGTTGATTGAATTCAACTTGTATATATTTGTAAAACTTAGATAAATTGGCCAGGCATGGTGGCGCATGCCTTTAATCCCAGCACTCAGGAGGCAGAGGCAGGCAGATCTCTGTGAGTTCAAGGCCAGCCTGGTCTACATAGTGAGTTCCATGACAGCTGGGGACTATAGGGAGACCCTGTCTCAAAAAGACCAAAAACAAAACAAAACAAAAACAAAAACAAAAAAACAAAC